AATTTCCATATTTAGGTTTTATTGTGATATTCTTTATGTCTTACTTCACTATATTTATACCAATAGGGCCCTGGCCTGATCTCGTCACTACCTGACTAAGGTTAGGCTTGGTAATTACTGGGTACCGTTGTGGTGTACTCATGCCCTTTCCTGCACATGTTTTCCGTGTGCAGATCCAGGTACTAGCTATCAGCCTCGAGTCTAGTTGCGTGGTTGCTATTTCAGGAGACTTCAAGATACATCTGTCGCGTACCTCGGAGACCCCTTCTATCACCTATGTTCATTTTTCTTCTTTTACATAGAATGATGTATAATACTGATTGAACTTCTTAGAAGCTTGTAACATTGCGATATTCCGAGTTTTGGGAAAAGTGATTATTGTATATGCCAAGCAGCATCGTTTTTGTTTATTAACTATATTCGTTAGCTGTTATCTTGTGTTCTTATTTCATTTTCGCAATATTAAGATTACCTAGTCATAGAGACTAGGTGCCGTCATGACAGTTCAGAGATGAGGAAACTTGGGACGTGACAATCAGTATGGAGACTTGAGGTACGACTGCTCGGTGTTCGCAAACCTGTTGTCCCCTCCACTTTATCTTAGCTGTGTATTTTCTTTTAGACAACTTTACTTTCATTCAAACCTTTATCTGTATTATTCTAGTAGCTTGTGCACTTGTGACACGAGATTCAGGATTGTATTTAGATATCTCAGTTGTTATGGCATTTTGCACTTGACTTCAGTTTTATCTCAGTTATTTCAATAATTGCCATCAATTAAATTTTATTTGTTTAAAAATGGCTTAAAACTATTTTAACGTTAGCTTGCCTAGCAAGTGAAATGTTAGGCACCATCACGGTCCCGAGCATGAAAATTCTGGGTCATGACAAGTTGGTATCTGAGCACTGGTTACCTAGGTCTTACAAGCCACGAGCAAGCTTAGCAGAGTCTGGAGGATCGATACGGAGATGTCTGTACTTATCTTCCAGAGGCTATGGAGTTTAGGAAAAATATCACTTCTTTCTTACTCTATCGTGCGATTTTATTCTTTCATTGATGATTGAACCCTTCTATTCTTGTTCTTTCGCAGATGGCAAGAACACGTACTGCATCTACAGCAGGACAAGAGTCAGATCTCTCTGTAGTAGATACGACTTGGGGACGAGGCCGAGGCTGAGGTTGCACCAGAGGTCGAGGTAGAGGTAGAAGCAGAGCTCAGTCTAGTGCTTGAGTAGAAACACCCGCAGTGGAGCCTCAGGTGGATTTTGAGGAGGAGGTTCCAACTCAGATTTTTCCCGTTGGACCAGCTCAGGTTCCGAAGGGGTTCATCATCACTCTAGTGCTTCAGAATGCTCTAGTCCGTTTGGTAGGCCTTATGGAGAGTGTAGCCCAAATCGGTACCTTTTCGGTGGCATCAGCCGTCCTTCGGGCTGGAGGAGGAGCACAGACTCCCGCTACTCACACCCGGGAGTAGGTAGCTACCCAGTATCAGCCTTGAGCAGCCCCACCAACTGGGCTAGTTTAACTTGTTGTTGCGGCATAGACCGGTGATAGGCACACTTTGTCTTCTAAGGTTAGGTTGAGGTTGGAAAAATTTACCAAGCTCTTTCTTGTTCATTTCAATGGTGTATCTTTTGAGGACCCACAAGACTTTATGGACTATTTCCATGAGGTGTTGTGCAACATGGGTATATTTGAGACCAGTAGGGCCTATTTTGCAGTATTTCAGATGACTGGTTCAGCTCAGAGATGGTGGAGAGATTATATGTTGACTAGACCAGCTGTGTCACCTGTACTTACCTAGGATCGGTTCTCACAGCTATTTCTGGAGAAGTTCTTCCCGGTCACCCTGTGAGAGGAGTAACGCAGGCACTTTGAGTCACTTTAGCAAGGTGGTATGGCTGTCACCCAGTAGGAGACTCGATTTGTGGACTTAGCTCGTCATGCCACTATTTTTCTTCCTACTAAGAAGGAGACAGTGAGGAGATTTATTAATGGGAACACTTAAACTATCAGGCTTCAGATGGCCAACATGCTTAGGGGAGAAGGCCGGTGTCAGATAAGAGGCCTCGTCATTTTGGTAGTTTCAGTGGCTCCTCCTGTGGAGGCAGGGGTACTTATGGTAGAGGCCATCCTCCCAGGCCATTTCATTTAGCGCTTCAAGCATATCACAATGCTTTTAGGAGTTGTGGTCCTTATGTGCCTTACTCTAGGCAGCCAGCCTACAGTATACCATTAGCTCCTATCAGTGCACCTTCGATTCAGAACTATCATCGTGGTTATCTGGCCCAGTTTAGTCAGCGTCAGCTTCGGCATCCACATTAGTAGGATGGGTGTTTTGAGTGTGGTGGTATTGGGCACATCAAGAGGTCCTATCCGAGATTATTGGGTAGCATGTCACATCAGAGTTCTCGTGCCATGGTTCCGGCACCGGTTTCTCCACCACTCATTGAGCCAGCTAGAGGTAGGGGTCAGGCAGACAAAGGTGGGGTTCAGGCCATTAGAGGTAGAGGTCATGTCATTAGAGGTGGAGGCCAGCCAGCTAGAGGCCGTCCTAGAGATGTAGTTCAGAGTGGTGACCCCATCCCTAATGTTATGCTTTCCCAAGTAGGCTTGAGGCCAAGTCAGTTGACATCATTATCATATATATTCTTCTAGTTTGTCATAGAGATACTTCACTTCTATTTGATCTCGAATCTTCTTATTCCTATGTGTCATCCTATTTTGCTTCATATCTGGTTGTGCCTCGTGATTCTTTGAGTGCTCTTGTGTATTGTCTACACCTGTGGGAGATTCTATTATTGTAGATCGCGTCTATTGCTTGTGTATGGTATCTATTAGGAGTCTCGGGACTAGCGTAGATCTTATACTTCTCGATATGGTGGACATCGATGTTATCTTGGGTATGGATTGGTTGTCACCTTATCATGCTATATTGGATTGTCATGCCAAGATAGTGACCTTAGCCATGCCAAGGTTGCCTGGATTAGAGTAGAAAGGGACTCATGCCACTCTACTAGTAAGCAACAGGGTTATCTCCTATGTGAAGGGTCAACGTATGGTCGAGAAGAGGTGTCTAGTTTATTTGGCTTATATTTACGATTCTAGCACGAAGGCTCTTTCCATGGTTCTGTACTAGTTGTTCGTGAGTTTCCAAAGGTGTTTCCTTCAATGCTATGCTAACTCCACAAGATATAATTTCTAAAGTACCTGTGACTCTAGCAGATATTCATGACTTTGCAGAATGGTACCATAATCTATATCTAACTGAAATCCCATGGAGAGGTGAATACTACACTTGGACAAACAAGAAACAAGGAGATGATAGAGTCAGAAGCAGGCTGGATAGAACATTTGGAAATGATTGTTGGATGATGCAACATGGTCATCTTACTGTCAATTTTGAAGATCCCTTTATTTCAGACGATACACCAATGTTGATCCCCATTACTCAGCCCACCACTAACATCAAAGTACCCTTCAGATTTTTCAATGTTTGGGCTGATCACTCGGAATTTTCCCACATAGTGGCTGCAAGATGGAATCAAAATCACGTCAGCAGAAGAATGAAGAGTATATGGTACAAGCTGAAAGAACGTAAACTAAGGTTCAAGCAACTGAATAAAGAGGAATACAAAGGAGTTACAGAGATAATTGATCAAGAAAGGAATAAGTTGAAGAGCATACAAGTGCAAATGCACAATCAGTATACTGATTCACTAGGTGACCAAGAAAGGGATTGCTAGCAACAGTTGGAATCCTAGTACCTAATTGAGGAAAGCATACTGCAGCAAAAAGCTCAAGCTAATTGGATTCAATTGGGAGATTCAAACAAGAAATACTTCTCAGCAATCATGAAAGAGAAGAAACAGAAGAAGCAGATCACTGAACTTAAATCACTAACAAGAAGGAACCTTAATGAAGCTGCTGATATCAAAGAGGAGCTTATGCAATTCTATAAAGCTCTAATGGGAACATCAGCCAAACATCTTCCCGTAGTTAATAGAATGGTTATGAAAAAAGGGCCAACCTTGACTCATCAACAACAAGTGGAGTTGTGTGCCGAAGTGACAAAGGAAGAGATACAACAACAACCACCCAGTATAATCCCACACGTGGGGTCTGGGGAGGGTAATATGTACGCAGACCTTACCCCTACCCCGAAGGGTAGAGAGGCTGTTTCCAGGAGACCCTCGACTCAAAAAAAAAACAGGATTATGCTCAATAGGCAATGAGAAGGCTCCTGGAATAGATGGCTATAATGCAGTTTTTTTTCAAAAAGGCTTGGCCAATCATTAAGGAGGAGGTTTGCAATGCAATTAAAGAGTTCTTCTGGACAGGTATTATGTTTAAAGTAATTAACTGTACAACCATTACTCTGCCCCCCAAAGTACCTAATCCAGAAACAGTAAGAGAATACAGACCTATTGCTTACTGCATAATACTATACAAGCTGATTGCTAAGGTGTTAGCCAACAGAATGCAAATAGTGATGCCATGTATTATATCTGAAGTACAAGTAGGCTTTATTCCTGGAAGAAGATTCTCTGATAATATCATATTAGCTCATGAACTGGTTAAAGCTTATAATAAAAAATACATTTCTCCTAGGTGTATGATTAAAGTGGACATGATGAAAGTATATGACTCAGTTGAATGGGTATATATCGAACAGCTGATGGAGACCTTACAGTTCCCAACTAAGTTCATAAAATGGATCATGGCATGTGTGTCCTCTGTTAGCTACTCTATTTTAACTACAAGAAACCTGTCTTTTAGTGGCAATATTTAGTGGTGACTTTATTTATTGCTACAAATATCATATTTTTAGTGGCGACTCTAAAAAGTTGCTACTAAAGATTAAGTTTTAGTAGCGACATTCTTTGGTTGCCTCTAATATGTGCCACTAAATCCTGTAGGTTATTTGGAGCGACTAAGTCGCTACTACAATTAAAAAATCACTTAACATTAATTAAATAACAAAGAGCAAAGGAAGAAACTAAAAGACTTATTAGCTAGCTGATATACCCAAACGAAGAAAGCTGATACCAAAGGGGTTTTCGTCTTCTGCATCTTCCTCCTCTCAATCTCTCTCAACCAAAGGGGTTTTCTCCCACTCCTATAAAACATTATCCATCCAATTCCATCAAATCTCTTGAATCTATCCTTAAATCGCAAATGTAAACTGATACCTACCCAAAGCCCTAATCAGAAATTATATTCTCAAATTAGGTATGTGTTTGAATCATAAAAATAATTCTGGGTTTTTCTGATTTGAGCTTTCGATTTCGGAGAAAGGTAAGTTTTTTACTTAATTTTCTTTTGTTTATGATTTTTGGGGTTTTGATTTAAGGTGATTTGATAGCTGGTATTTTTTACGCGATTCTTTGGACGCGAAAGAGCAGTTTTCAACTGATTCTTTTGTTCTTTACGCGATTCTTTGTTCTTTACACGATTTTGTTTTTTCCCTTTTTGTTTATTTGGTTGGTTTATTTATTGTCTTTTTTTTACTGTGCTTGTTTATTTGGTTGGTTTATTTTTATTTTGATTTTTAAGTATGATTAATTTGATTTTTGATCCACAATTGAATCTCCAAATGCAAAAACTGCTTTTACAACTACGTTTTTAAGTACATGCAGCTAGCGAGAATGATTATTTCTTCTATTTCACCTTTAATTTCTCTGACCCATTTGAAAATATACAGGAATCAGAAGTAATTTTTCTTGAATAGCCATCGCCTGAAGCCCTTTCTGAGTGTCGACTGCTCTTTCGCTGGGTAAGTTGAAAACTTCTTTAGTTTCTCATTTTAAACAATAGGGATTTGAGACCTCACATTGATTGGAAAGATGGTCAATGGTTTACTAATGCTCGGGTATGGTCCCTTTGAATTCCTTTGGTTTTCAGGTCCTGTTGTTGCTTTTATTAAATCAGTCTACTATTATATTCTTTCTTTCCGAGTGGTCATAATGGCGGGTAGTAGTTCTATTGGTAGCTTGTATAATCCATCTACTGTTGTAAGTTGTAAATAGCAATGCACCAGTTTAATGTTGCAGCTGCCGCCTCCCCCCTTCCCCAAGTAACAAACCAAGCCAATGTGAGTGAAATCTGTTTATTTAAGTTGAAACATGAAAGCAGTGAATGCATCTCTATTGATGTTATCTTCATGCTCTAACAATGTGATCTTATATTTTTTTCTTCGGAAAAGGTCCAAAAATATCCTTGAACTATTCAAAATAGCTCAAAAATATCCTCCGTTTGTTTTTGGTGCCAAAAATATCCCTAGTCTATGTTTTGGCCCAAAAATGCCCCTAAACCGTTAGTTTTGCCACTAAAGCTGACATTAGTCCAACTAGATTAGAATTGCTTACGTGATCGTCCACCTAAGCAATCCATATGTGAAAATTATTTTTTCGAAAATTTTATTTTTCCAGAATTTTTTAATAAAATACAAAATCAACATTTATTCTGAAAAAGTAAAAAAAAAAATTCGAAAAAAATATTTATTTCGGAATTTTTTAATTAAAATACAAAATCAACACTTATTCCGAAAAAAAGTAAAAAATTTACGAAAAACTTATTCTTGATTCGGGTTTATGATTTGATTAAAAAACTCCATTGTTCTCTTTTGTGAATTTATGATTAATTTGTGAATTTCGGAGTTATGTCTTTGAATGCTTTTGAATCCAGTAATAGCGTAGTTATGTCTTGGAACATTATCCGTGTATAATTTCAACCCCATTCTTTAGCTCCCAAAAAATAAATTAACACACAACGTTTACAAGAAAAAAATTAAAACTTTATTTGTACAACAATAAAGACACTGGTTTCTTAATCCTAAACAAGTTGGGGTCGGTTATATGAATTCTCGATATCTATAATCATGAGAACAATGGAGTTTTTTAATCAAATCATAAACCCGAATCAAGAATAATTTTTTCATAAATTTTTTACTTTTTTCGGAATAAGTATTGATTTTGTATTTTAATTAAAAAATTCCAAAATAAATATTTTTTTTTTCGAATTTTTTTACTTTTTCAGAATAAATGTTGATTTTGTATTTTATTAAAAAATTCTGGAAAAATAAAATTTCCGAAAAAATTATTTTCACATATGGATTGCTTAGGTGAACGACCACGTAAGCAATTCTAACCTAGTTGGACTGCCATGTCAGCTTTAGTGGCAAAACCAACGGTTTAGGGGCATTTTTGGGCCAAAACATAGTCGGCAGGGATATTTTTGGCATCAAAAACAAACGGAGGATATTTTTGGACCTTTTCCGTTTTTTCTTTAATAATAGGGACAAGGTTCTTAAACAGTGGGAACAATGAAGGAGAAGCTTGAAGCTAAGGCACTCAATGTTTTGCTTTTTGGTTATATGTAAATGTGTACAATGACAATGAAGTATTATGTAGTATATATGTGGAGGAACTTGAAGCTAAGGCACTCAATATTTTGCTTTTTGGTTATATGTATATGCGTACAATGAAATGGAAGTATTTACTATTTGGTTTAAGAAATTTTTTTGGTGTTTATTAAATACTATTGGATGATCTTATATATTAATATTAATATATAAGTTTCAGTTGCTAGATTAATATTAAAACTAGAGTAAATTATTCAACAGCGTTGTTAGAGTTGCCACTGATGGCTTATCATTTTTGTGGCAACTAAGTTGCCACTAACTGTCACTCTACAGTAGTGCTATTAGAGTTGCCACTAATAGTAAATTATTTATGTGACAACTAAGTCGCCACTAAATGTCATTCTACCGTGTAGAGTGGCCAATGATGATTAATAGTATTTGTAGCGACTAAGTCGCCACTAAATGTTACTCTACAATAGTGCTATTAGAGTTGCCACTGATTATTAATAGTTTTTGTGGCGAATAAGTCACCACTAAATGTTACTCTACAGTAGCGACTTCAACAAAACCTGTTTGGTGGAGCTCTTTTTTGTGGCAAGTGCATTTAGTTTTTGTAGCGACTACATCGCCACAGAATGTATACATTCTGTGGCGACTTTGTTTTGTCGCCACTAGTAATATTCAGTAATGGAAGTACTTGCAACAGTTCTATAGTCGCTACTGTAAACAGTTAGTGGAGACTATTAATGAGTTTTTGGCGACTGTGGTCGCCGCTAAAAGGTGGCTTTCTTGTAGTGATGGCAATGAGAAAAGGTGTTAACTTTCTCCCTTCTTGCTTTAGTGAAATAAGGGGCGCTAACGCGACCTTCCTTCAGCGGGCTTCGCCCTATCTATTCATCTATTTTCTCAAATGGATTTTTAGGGATCTCTCTTGTTCATAGATCTTGAAACCAGATCAATATTCATTTCTCAATAGATCTATTTATCGATAGAAAGATATAGATCTCTATATGGATCAATTTGTTCAATGGTGAAGCAATGGAACCATTCCCAGCAGCAAAAGACCTAGGACAAGGGGATCCAATATCACCTTACCTATTTGCTAGAGCAATGGAGTATCTGAGTAGGCTATTGGGTAATCTCAAGCAGAACAAAAAGTTCAAATATCACCCTAGATGCAGGAAACTAGGTATAACTCATCTTAGCTTTGCGGATGACTTGTTGCTATTTGCAAGGAGTGACTTAGACTCTGTACAACAATTGAAATAATGTTTTCTAACCTTCTCTGGTGCTTCAGGGTTACAAGCAAATACCTCTAAGAGTGCAATATATTTTGGAGGTGTTACACCAAATATTCAGACAACCTTGTTACAGAGAACAGGGTATGCTCAACGGGAGATGCCCTTCAGATACCTGGGGATTCTTTTGGATACAAAGAAGCTTACATTGGCAAAATGGTTACCTCTCATAGACAAGACCACAGCAAAAATATCATCCTGGACAGCCAAGAAATTGTCATATGCTGGGAGAATTCAATTAGTGCAATCATTATTATTTGGCATGCAAACATATTGGGCCCAAATATTCATATTACCTGTCAAGGTAGTCAAATTGATTGAGGCATACTGCAGAAGTTATGTGTGGTCAGGAAGGAAATATCATCACAAAAAAGGCATTGTTGGCCTGGGAAAGAGTATGTCTACCTAAAGCAGCTGGAGGCTACAACATCACCAATATAGAAGTGTGGAATAAAGCAGCAATAGCAAAGACATTCTGAGATATAGCACATAAGGCAAATAAAATGTGGATAAAATGGATTCATCTCTATTATATCAAAGGACAAAACATCTACGAAATGAGCATACCAAACCAGGCAAGCTAGATGGTAAAGAAGATATTGGGGGCAAGGGATGATATCAAGCAAATACAAAGGCCTACTGTACAGAAGAAAACTATTATCAGATACATCTATAATCAACTGCTAGGGGATCATCCTAAGTCGAATGGAGGAGGTTGATATATCATAACAGAGCCAGACCTAAAGCTACCTTCACTCTATGGTTGCATTGTCATGGGAAACTTGCTACTACAGACAGAGCGCAAATGGGGTATCAATGTGCAATCACTTTGTGTGTTGTGTCAAGTATCAGATGAAAACAGAGATCACCTCTTTGGGAATGCAGTTTTTCAAGAGGATTGTGGAGCAGACTACTACAGTGGTTGTAAATGCAAAGTCCAATAGGACAGACATGGACTGATCTCTTCACATGAATAATGCAGAAGACTAAAGGGAGAACAACTACAACGAAGATCATCAAAATGACATATACAGAGTTTCTACATGCAATATGGAAGGAAAGAAACAACAGAATTTTCAAAGGAGAAACTAGATATCAAGAGAGCATAGCTAGAGAGATAGCATGTGTCTGTAATATTAGAGGCACAAGTGATATAAGGAACCAGCTACAGAAGTTGAGCTTTTAAAGATGCAATCCATAGCCTAGCTTACATATATAGAATTAGACTGCTGGATAGAAGAATCAATAGGAGGTAGGAGTTAGATTGTTTGTTTTCTCAGAGAAGCTAGATGTAAATAGCTATGCTTGTTTTGTAATGACTTCACTGGTGATTAATATAATATTTTAATTACCAAAAAAAGGTGTTTCTTGCAGATCTGCTGGCGATACCACCCAACAGAGATATTGACTTCTGTATTGATTTGGATCTGGGCACTTAGCCTATTTCTATTCCTCCATATCATATGGCACTACCGAAGTTGAAGGAATTGAAGGAGAAGATGCAATATTTATCAGATAAGGGCTTCATTAGACCTAGTGTCTCGCCCTAGGGTGCGCCCGTGTTGTTCGTGAAGAAGAAGGATGGGTCGATGAGGATGTGTATAGACTATTAACAGCTAAACAAAGTCACTATCAAGAACAAATATCCTTTGTCGAGGATTGATGACTTATTTGATCAGCTTCAGGGTGCCAAAGTATTTTCGAAGATTGATTTGATGTTTGGCTACCATCAGTTGAATATTAAGGCATCTGATATCCCTAAGATGACTTTTTGAACTTGTTATGGGCATTATGAGTTCCTAGTTATGTCATTTGGATTGACAAATGCCCCGACAAAATTTATGGATTTGATGAACCGGGTGTTTAAGCCCTACTTGGATTCTTTTGTGATTGTATTCATTGATGATATCTTCATCTACTCCCGCAGTCGAGAGAAGCATGGGCAGCATCTTTGGATTGTACTCCAGCCTTTGAGGGATAGCTAGTTATATGTCACATTTTCAAAGTGTAAGTTTTGGTTAGACTCAATCGCCTTTTGGGTCATGTTGTATCGACAGAGAGAATAAAGGTGGATCCTAAGAAGATTGAGGCGGTTCAAAACTAGCCTAGACCTACTTCAGCTACAAAGATCTCGAGTTTCCTAGGTTTGGAAGGTTACTACGCCAGTTCGTGGAGGGTTTTTCGTCCATAGTACCCCTATTGACTAGATCGACCCAAAAGGGTGCCCCCTTTAGATGGTCGAATAAGTGTGACTTGAGCTTTCAGAATCTCAAGACTGCTTTGACTACGATGCTAATGTTGATGTTGCCCACCGGTTCAGGATACTACATGGTGTATTATGACGCTTCTAGTATTAGGATCGATGCAATATTGATGTAGGATGGCAGAGTGATTGCATATGCATCGCAGCAGTTGAAGGAAGGTTCATGAGAAGAATTACCTTGTTCATGACTTAGAGTTGGTAGCTATTGTTCATGCGCTGAAGATTTGGAGGAACTATCTTTACAGTGTGTCATGCGAGGTATTCACGAATCATCGGAGTCTACAATATTTGTTCAAGTAGAAGGATCTCAACTTGAGGCAGAGGAGATGGTTGGAACTGTTGAAAGACTATGATATCACCATTTTGTATCATCATGGGAAGGCCAATGTGGTGGCCGATGCCTTGAGTAGAAAGGCAGTGAGTATGGGTAGCCTTGCGTATATCCCAGTTGGTGAGAGACCGCTTGTAGTAGATGTTCAAGCTTTTGACCAATCGGTTTGTGATATTAGG